GACAGGGGCTAGGGCCCCCATTCCTTACCCGTCCTGGCTAATAGCCATTAATGGACTTCACCACCATGAATTTATCCAGTTTAAACGCTGTTATAGTCCTAGCCTTCACAAGCTCCTCAGGCAAGGAGTTCCACAAGTTGACTGTGCGCTGCGTGAAGAAGAACTTCCTTTTATTTGTTTTAAACCTGCTGCCTATTAATTTCATTTGGTGACCCCTAGTTGTATTATGGGAATAAGTAAATAACTTTTCCTTATCCACTCAAATCCCATGGGAGTTGAGTCACCCCAACGGGAATGGGTCTTTTCCCCCATCCCCGGACCGGGGTGAGTGGGAAATGCTATGGCGAAAAGTTCAAGCAATTGCATGCAAGGAACGTTCCCCATAAACTTCCTCAGCCCCTGGGTCTGCAGGGCACAGAGCGCCCCAAATTTTGTGTGCTGGAACTGGTTGGCCACAGGAAGGTGGATGAAGTTCAGTTTTGGCAGGGCTCTCTCCCGCACCAGGAAGAGTGGGATCAACTCCTGCTTACATGGCTGCAGTGGGGTCTCCCATCCCTCCTGTGCCAAGAGGGTTTAAAATAAAAAAAGCTTTCAGGTGCTTGGCTGGCAGGCAGCAGAGTTGGAACAACTTGAGTGTTTTTTAAGCGTCCGGTTGAATGCAAAGTCGTCTGTCCAAGGGCTGGGAGTGTTTGCCTGCGCCAAATCCTAAACATCAGAGAGTCTAGCCTCCTCTGCTCACTCAAGCTTGGCTGCCTGAGTCACTGCAGAGGGACTTGGGAGGGGCTGGGCATATGCTCCAGTCTCCATCCATTGGGTAGTGTCCCTGTCCCAGGCGTGGCAGGAGACAGAGTGGAGATCTTGTGGAGAGCAGGATTAACAGTGTTAAAGGAGTCAGAACATTCTTTTCCCCCAAAACCCAAATAAATCTGGTTTGTTTTTGCTCCACAGAACAGCAAGGCTCTTGGGGCTCTGGCTTGCCTAATATGGGCAGTTTTTGGTGGAAAGGAGGTGGGTTGGTAACAATTTAAAAAGGGAATAACTCTGCTCTGTGTAGTTTGACTTATTTTTCTGGAAGCATTTGCTGATCGCTTTACTCTTACATGGATAAAGAGATTGGAAAAGTGTTTTTTTTCTCCTGCTGATGATAGCTCATCTCAATTGATTGGCCTCTTACAGTTGGTATGGCTACTCCCACCTTTTCATGTTCTCTGTATGTATAAATATCTTCTTGCTGTGTGTTCCATTCTATGCATCCGAAGAAGTGGGCTGTAGCCCACGAAAGCTTATGCTCCAATAAATGTGTTAGTCTCTAAGGTGCCACAAGGACTCCTGTTCTTTTTACGGATACAAACTAACACGGCTGCTACTCTGAAACCTGAGATTGGAAGAGTGGATGGTTCGAAAGAGAAGTCCTATTTAGGTCACAAGGCAACAGCTTGTCTGCAGGCTTTAGGGGGAGACTTGATTGCTAGATCACAACCATTGGCAGGCAGTCCTAGTGTGTGTGTGTGTGAAATTTAACTTTCAGTGCTCCTTGCGGCTTGCTCTGGGCGTTGATGGATTATACTCTGGACAAGGTTGGAATGCACACAACTCTCCATAAGGAAAGCAATGCCCCTTTGGCAGAGTATTTAAAGAAAGCGATTGTGCAAAGGGAGAGGCCTTGCGTCCACGCCATGCTAAATATTTAATTAGGAAAACCGTGTTAAATAATCAGTGTGTGCTGGCTTTACTTTGGCTCAGATCCTGAAGCTGGATAAGCATGTGTTTAACTTTGTTCACAGGAGTAGTCCCACGGAACGTGGGAATGGAGCCTAAGGCTGAAAGCTCTTTGCGGCCGGAGCGAACTTTTCATTGTGTGTGGCTGTACAGTGCCTAGCACAGTTGGCCCCTGATTTTGAGGTCCCTGGGTGCTACTTTAGCAACAATAATCCTGCTGTTACCTTGCGAGCCTTTTCCACTGTTTACATTTTGCAGGCTTTTCCTCTGGCTACATTGCCTGTCGTTTCTTCTGACTTGCTCCGGAGCTGGCAGTCATGGTGTCTCATGTGATAACTTGCATCACGGCAGTCGGATTGCTTTGATGCTTTGGTGTGTAACCCAAGTAGTGGGCTCCTGCCCAGGAACTCTGCTGTGCTGATCTTAACCCTTTTCTTCGCTTAGTTTTGTTTCTTTGAAGGTGTCATATGGAGCGGTGTTTCTAACCCAGCTTAAGTTGTGGCACTGACTGACTAGACATACAGCTTTATAATGGTGATGTAGAAACACCCTAAACATACGTTTCAGAGTAGCAGCCGTGTTAGTCTGTATCCGCAAAAAGAACAGGAGTTCAGTCTCCGGCGGAGGGGGAGCCGTCCAAATGTGTTTAAGATC